AGTGTTAAGGAACTTTCCTTCCAACCTAACACAATAACTGCTGTAAGAAAAGGAACTACGGCAAGAAAAGAATCCTGAAAAAAGTTTCCTATTGTGTGAGCACCGGCTTTACAGGTACACACACGTTACGTTAAGGAAACAAAAATTGACAGCGACGGGAGAAAATGATGAATAGGAACGGAGAATTCACCTCTTTGCGGCGACTACGGCGCTAAAACACCGATTTACACAAAGATCCTGGAAAAAAGAACTCTACTACTTGTACGAGAACCGACTCTACACGAATACACACCGCCCCCGAAAGAAAGATTGACAGCAAATGAGAAAAAAATGATAAATAGGACGTAGCAGTGATAGAGTCACCGAATTTGAAGGAGCAGCTGTTCCCTCACGCGGCTGCGGCGCGGCTCACGCGCTGGAGCGATTTATCTCGAAAATTTGCCTCCTCCCCTTATGCTTCGAACCTTAATAACTTTTTCAAAACTTGATGTTTTAGAAAACGGCGGGTAAGTTTTGAAAGAGCTTCAACTGCAGTTTTTTATTATTTTTGAACTTGCCCTAAAGACTCTCTATTCGGTGAGATTTTCCACGTCGAGTAAACGTCGAGGAACTCAAATTTGTCATGCGTATTTTAGCTGTTTTCAAGACGATAACTTTTTTAATTCTCGATCGTTCGGAAATGTATGGACACCATAAGAAAGTAGAAGAATTGCTCTTTCGAATGGTCGCCTGACTTGTTCAGAAAACTTCCCACTTAAGGAGAAATCTGCGTCGAGAAAATGACGAGGAGTTTTTTCTTCACTCAAAAACCAGATTCATGCCACATCATTGCAAGACAAATTCACTGAAACCTCTCAAAATGCGTCAGGAACGCATCGCTTCACCGTCGCTGGTACAACTAGATACGCTCGGCGCCGTTTAGCTTCAAGTCGAGTATGCGCCATGCCGTCGGTCTTCGCTCGTAAGTTTAAGTCAATTGAAAGGTTGTAAGCGCATGAAGACTTGCTAATAAAAACGGAAGTGTTCTCTGCAGTGACTAAACGTGGGAATTCTTCCAATCACGGTCCAGCCTCAGTTGCTTACACTTGCAATTTATGGCGATAAACAGAAACTTGTAAATCTTTATGTCACGCACTCAATGACGGTTTATGGACTGAGTGGTAGAGGAGATGCCGATACAGTTCGAGATACAAAACATGATCGAGAGAACACTGAAGCCTCAACATATCTCACCCAAAAACTGCCTTTAATAACACCTTCAGATTAACCTCGGCGACCCCTTTATCTTTCAACGAAATGTGGTGTTTTTCAACAAAAATGTCGTCTTTCTTTCCCGCCGTTTTACTTCATTGCCTTTTGAGATGATCAGGTACATAACCACGAGGAGGGCTGAAGAGCATGGCGATGGGACCTGCTACTAATGAATCCTATTACATTCCCTTACGCACTGAGGTTTAACGAGAGAGGTGGTAAGACGCCCCCCCCCCGCCCACTTCCCCTAATCCTGTATCTTACAAATCGTCCGATACTGAATCCGACAATTACGACCCCCCTCCGCCCTTCACCAGAGGCAAATACCACCTCGCCGGATATATACACCGTTGTCCTCTCTCCTGAATGGCCGCTTACGCCTTTCCCCTTCCAAGACCCTACCATTCTCCTCCACCTTACTTCATATTGCATGTGCCCCAATAAAAACCCGCGCATTCGACAAATGCTCTTCTTTATGCCTAGTAGCGTATTCATATTACTAAACTATTGATTTGAACTGAATATTCCCTATAATTACTATTGCTTTTTAAATATCTTTTATCGTATCGCCATTTCCTATAACTTGACCCCCATTTTGTACAATGGTAACAAAATAACTTGATAGATAAATAAAAATACCGAAAAAAATAAGCAAAAGCTACTCAAATTCAAGCCATCTCATAATAAATCTAACAAGGATGAACACTAAAAAATATGCGAATGCTTTAACACGAATTGTGAATGACTCTTAGAAGTGTTTACTCATGCCAAAAGGCCGTGTAATTCAAGCCCCAGCCCGCAAAGCTCCGTTCTTTCGGATAAACGAGCCTGATCATGCGACAATTGCAGAATAAAGATGCGCCTTACAAAGGAAACTCTGGCGGGCTGTCGCACCACGAGCCACCCACGTATGGTTGGCCAATTAGCTAGGTGGTTACAAGTGCGAAGCTTATGATGGAGGTTTTGCACAGTGCCGAAGGTGTGGTTGATGGCTCGACTGAAGATCACTTTCGACATTCCTAATTCTCCACCGATATACCTCCGCTGGAACGATCGGTTAACATGCTCTTGTCAGCCTCGGAAGTAAAGTCGCTTTGACCGCGCTTGCATTGTACAAAATGGGGGTCATAGTTATAGGAAATGGCGATACGATAAAATTTAAGAAGCAATGTAATATGGGAAATCAATTCAAATCCAATAGTTTAGTTAATATGATACAGCTATTAAGGCAAAAGAAAGCATTCGAATGGCTATGGCACAGGAAAAGTAAGGGAGGAGATGGATGGGGCGGAAGGGGAAGGGAAGGTCCATTCAGGAGAGAGGACAACGATCGGGCAACATTGCAAGCCGCTTGATAGAGCGTACAGCTCCGGACACCAGCTCGGCATGAACGCCATCCGCTCCTAAAGCGCCAACTTGGATTGGGAAGCGAGGGAGGGCGAGGGTAATCCTTATTTTAGGCTTAGAGACTTAAGCGTGATATGACCTATAAAGTGGCTTACAGAGCTCAGCCCATGTAGAAATCAGCTTGTCTTCACATAGACCTGTACTGAAGACCATTACCAGAAGGGTGGAAGGCTAAAATATTCTCACTGAGTACATCCAAGTTTCAGTCCCCTTCCTTCATTCATGGTGGCGCAGCTTTATTCTACATTAATCCTACCCATAAAATAAAGATTGCAAGTCCATATAAATAAGGCACCCAATTCGTATGAACCTAGTGGCAGTGTACGCAGTCAGCAATAGTGTAACAGTTTGGAAGGAGTGGCTCTCTAAAAAGCTCCATATGCTGCAAGGAATTTTCTTGCGGATTCATCAGGCCTTCTCACACCTCGCCACCACTCAATTATTGCAAGCTCTCTTCAACTGCAATCAAGGGTAATGAGCAGGCTTTCTTCCTCCCCTTTTTTCTTTTTTTCGATGAATCAGTTTCACCGTCCCACAATGTATCGCGCTGTTAAATGATCAATTTTTGAAGTGATTGTTAGAAGTGTCGTCTCGCCTCCTTCGTCAAGGACCCCGACAAATGACTCATTATTCTCAACGGGCGTAT